CTCAAGCGATATTCACCCTGCTTGCAATGTGTGTTCAAGCATTACTGCACTAGGAGCAAACATTGGCTGGCTATACCCAAGTGCTTACTATATGGGTCTTCGGCTTCCGTATATGAGTAAGGCAGATAGGGTAGACAATCTTGTTGCAATGTACTCGCTTCTAAATCACCTATGTTACCGAATTAAAGCTAATTTTCGAAGAAAGCGTAATTCTGGTCGTCACCTAGAGGTTATAAAGGCCTTAAGGCCTTGCAATCATCCGTAACAGATACACTGATGATTCGATATTTCAGATCATCCGCCTGGAGACGGAAAATGCAGTCTTCAAGGCGAATATCCCCTCCGACGTCCTGAGGAATTTGTCTCTAGACCAGGCAAACTAACTTCTACGTCAGAAGCGACAGACTTGTAAAGAGACCCTTCTGAAAGCATTTTTGTTTCATAGATGTAAGAAGTACTTAATACCGGTGAAATTCAATTCCTTTGTACTATAGAAGAGAGTTCTATGTCGGATGCATTTATCTGCCGTATATTTTGTACATAATCATGTGATACAATTGTAAAGTACGCGTTGTGTATACAAAATATCATATGTACTTGAGAAGATAAAGATTAGGCAAATTAGGCGTGTTTCTAACAGAACCTAATCGTTCTGTGAACATGAGTAGGGGATCTGATTCCTCGCATTAATGTGTGCTATCTCATAAGCATTACTTTTTTCTGATGTTTTTTTTTGCTATTCGCACCTGTGTGGGAAGAGGTCATCTCACGATGTTGAGCACACGTGGATAGACCGCGTTAGCGCGTCTGGTCCGAGCACCCCCTTTCATACTGTTTTCTCCTCAACCATATTCTTCCCATTCGGTCGTTTTTGCATCTAACCCTTTTATGCACCGACTGAACCCTTCGAGTTTTCCACCCACACGGCACTTCCAAATGTGCTCGGCATCGCATCTCGAGCTCTTGCTACACATCATTCTATCCCATTCTCAGGTTGAATCAAAGACATCTACGGGCTGGACGATCTCATCACGGTTGAGCAGTATGGGATGAGCCGTGCACAATGGGTGCAATGCTGTCACAACTAGGATTTAACCAAGCTTTTCTGCTTGCATTGATTGGTATTCTCGCTATGCTAGGTCTGACAGTGCTAGCCATCGGAGAAGATGAAAGGGACCATCAGAATAACTACATTCTACCATTAATTCGAGTGCGTCCACCGACAACAGCGGAACGAAAAGTGATCTAACTTTTATCATGAGCTTTTGAATGCATTTTTTGATGTAATAAATGTAAAATTTTGTACGTTGTTACTTTTTTCTGTGCAAATGCGACTTTTTAACCTTCAAACGATCATAACTTTGTTCAAAGTCATTCATTTGGGAAGCTGAACACGGTATAATAAACTACAGGATTCAAGCTTTCTAACGAGCACCCAAGCGTTCCTGAAAGATCAGTAGTTCAAAAATTAGTCCCGTTGTTACTTTTTTGGGGGTTTGCGTTACTATTTTTTTGGAACCGCGACTTTTTTACCTTCAAACGATCATAACTTCCTTCAAAGTCATTCATTTGGGAAGCTGAACACGGTATAATAAACTACAGGATTCAAGCTTTCTAACGAGCACCCAAGCGTTCCTGAAAAGTCAGCAGTTCAAAAATTAGTCCCGTTGTTACTTTTTTGGGGGTTTGCGTTACTATTTTTTTGGAACCGCGACTTTTTTACCTTCAAACGATCATAACTTTGTTCAAAGTCATTCATTTGGGAAGCTGAA